TTTTTTTTTTTTTTTTTTTTTGATCCTCAGTTTTGAATATTTTCTCTTACCCTGTTTTCTGGATTGCTGATCTCTTCTTCTGCATCCTCTAATCTCCTGTTGATTACCTGTAGTGTATTTTTTTGTTTCAGTTATTCAGTCTTTCAGGTTTTTAAAAATATTTTTCTTGAAGTTCTTAGTTCACCTACTCTCTCAAGTCTGGTGAGCAACTTTATGATCGTTACTTTGAAATTTCTGTCAGGTAGATTGCTTATCTCATTTTGATTTAGTTATTTTCTTGAAACTTTGTCTTAATTTTGTTTGTGTATATTCCTCTGCTCCCTTTTTTCTTGGATTTTCTGTGCTTATTTCTTATGAATTAGGTGGAACAGCTCCCTCTGCCGGTCTTGAAGGAGTGGCCCTGTGTAGGTACATCCCCTGTGCAGACTGTGTGTTCCTTGCACGTTTGGCTGGCTGGCTGGCTGGCTGGATTGGTAGTGCGCGTGGTCTGTGGGTCCCGGGGCGCTCTGCATCAGGGCTGCCCCTGTGGGCGATGCTGGTGTGGAGGGAGAGGCGTCAGGCTGCTTTGCACTTAGCCCCCTTGGTGAGATGACTGGAGCCGTAGCGGAAAAAGGCCTGGCGTGCCCCGGTGTGCGCCCCACGGGGGCTGCCCTGTTTGGATGGCTGGAGCTGGTATGTGCTTGGGGGCCGGGACTAGCCAAAGTGGCAGGGCAGCGAGAACACCCGGACCTTGTTCTTGGGTGGACTCCCAGGGTGGAGAGGGGAGGTAAACAGTGGAGATCACCAGCATTTCCAACCCCTGGGAGAGTTCCAGTAGTTACCCCACTGTTGGGTGGACGTTCTGGAGTTAATAAGTGGTTTTTCTTCACTTCTTGTCTAGTTACCTTTTAAACTGCAGCTTATTTTCTGTGCCCCAGGCAGGTGAATCTATGCATCAGTCTATCAGTGATGTCACTACCGCATCCTGTAACATCGGGGTGGAGTTGCCCTTGGTGGCGTGCCATCTGTGTCTCTTGCCGTTCTGATTGAGGTTTCTCTAGCCTTTATTGTGCGTAAGGTGTTCAGTCAGGCTTCGGTTCTTGTGGAGGAATTGATCTATATGTAGGTGTAAATGTAGTGTGTCAATGGGAGGAGGTGAGTTCAGGGTCTGCCTGTGGTGCTTTGGATCTTGGAGCGATCCAAACATTTTTAATTTTTAAATTTTTTTTTTCAACGTTTATTTATTTTTGGGACAGAGAGAGACAGAGCATGAATGGGGGAGGGTCAGAGAGAGAGGGAGACACAGAATCGGAAACAGGCTCCAGGCTCCGAGCCATCAGCCCAGAGCCCGACGCGGGGCTCGAACTCACGGACCGCGAGATCGTGACCTGGCTGAAGTCGGACGCTTAACCGACTGCGCCACCCAGGCGCCCCCAAACATTTTTAATTTTTGAAACATTGATTGTAGTTGTCTACATTGCCCCCAAGTAATGCTATAATTTAAAGTTTTGGGGCTTATTTGCAAGAAATAGAAGATTTGGTGTGGAATGACCCTCCCTTATGTGTGTGGTTTAGATACATATAATCATGGTTTCCATGCCTCTTATGAAAATGCAAGTGTTTACTTCTTATACTTAAAAATATTTGACTACGTAGTGAGTGAACACAGCAGAAATATTATGAGATTGTATGGTGTATTCTTCATTGTTCCCGTTAAAAAAATGGGAGATATGTACAGTTTACCCTTGAACAACACAGGTTAAAACTGTATGGGTCCACTTATATGCAGATTTTTACAAATTTTTTATTTAAAGATTTTAAGTAATCTCCACACCCAACATGGGGCTTGAACTCAAAGCCCCGCCATCCAGGAGTTGCATGCTCTACCAACTGAGCCAGCCAGGTGCCCTTGTATCCGGATTTTAAAAAATAAATATAGTCCAGGGGAGCCCGGGTGGCTCAAGCAGTTTAGCGTCCGACTTCGGCTCAGGTTATGATCTCACAGTTTGTGGGTTCGGGCCCCGCGTCGTGCTGTCTCCTGACAGCTCAGAGCCCGATGCGGGGCTCGAACTCACGGACCGTGAGATCATGACCTGAGCCGAAGTCAGCCGCTTAACCGACTGAGCCACCCAGGCGCCCCAGTTCCTTGTGATTTTCTTAACATTTTTTTCTTGAATTTAATTTTGTAAGAATACCGTATATAATACATCATTTAACATGCAAAATATGTGTTAATCAACTGTTTACATTATCAGTAAGGTCAGTAGGAGGCTATTAGTAGTTAAGTTTTTGGCGAGTCAAAAGTTATATGTGGATTTTCGACTACACGGGTTGGTGCCCCTGATCCCCCTGTCACTCAAAGGTCGGCTGTATTAAAAAGTGTACTGGCTTATTGATCCTTGACTGTGCCAGTTAATTTATGATTTCATTATTATTTCACTCTTTGCCTTGTTGATATGAGTGCTTAATTTGAGTAGTGCCAGTGAGATTAGATGTTAATTTTCTACACTCAAATTGTAATCTCAAATCCTTCCATTTTAGCCTTTCTGCTGGTGGCATCAGAAGTAGGTGAAAGCCTACCTAGTTAGGTCTGGCTCATGCCGGGCCACTAGCATCATCTTTAAAAACAAAGGAGTCTACATTTTCATTTTTGTTTGCTAAGTTACTTCCTTTAGACATTGGGTTTCCTTTACTCACACTTGAAATTCAAACCTTTTGGCCTCAAAATACAAGCAGAATGTAAGGCAGACAGGACAAGTAAGCTTTGTGGTGTTATCAAGTCCTTGTTTTCAGACATTTGAAATGATTACTCTGCTTTAGAGGAGTGATGTAATAGCCCTTGGTAAAACATAAGTGATTATATTGAAGTAGCATTTCTCAAGGCTAGAAAAACTTGGTTGCCAACTAATAATCTGTAGTTTAAACTAGCTGCTGCAGTTTTTTTTTTTAAGCATTAAAATGAAACTGAAGTTTGGGGATGCAGTTTGGCTTTTTTTGTTTCGAAACCAGTGATTGGCTGTATTACATCAGAAAAGTCTGGCTGAGTTGAACTCAATTTTATAACTTTGGAATCAAATGTGGTCATGTTGGGTCTTTCCATTTTAACATATTGGTCATTTCTTTTTGAGTAAAGTGAAATATGTACTTACATGCAACCATAGTTTCATTTCTTTTACCTTTTTATCGAAGTATTGTTGACACACAATGTTACATGAGTTTTAGGTGTATAGCACAGTGATTAACTTTGATTTCTTTCAATAGAAAATGACCGCGGTGTTGGAAGATCATTACTATTGGAAGGCCGGTTAGCATCAATTTCCTAACGGATACTTGACCACCATTTGTTCTGGCATGGCGCAAGGCAGTCCACAGCTTGATATGCAGGTTCTCCATGACCTCCGACAACGTTTCCCGGAGATTCCAGAGGGTGTTGTGTCTCAATGCATGTTACAGGTAGATTACCCGGCAACGACAGTGATGTTAAGCTACGTTTCTCCTTATTAGGGCTGGCTTTGTGTTGTGGTGACTAGAAGTCAGTTCACCTTTCTTGTGTGTGTGGAGGAGGGCAGTGGGAAGCATTCAGAGCAGGATTTCTCAACCTTGGTGCTATCGACATTTTGGGTGGGTAGTCTTTGTTGTGGGGCCCTGCCTTGTACTTCGTAGGCCGTTGAGCAGCATTCTTGGTCTCTACCACTAGATGATGATAGTATTCCTGCAGTTGTGACAACTCAAAATGTCTCCACACATTGATAAAGGCCTCATGGGAGGCAAAACCTACCCCATTCAGAACCCGTTAAGAAAAGAGTAAAGGCATGTAGCAAAAGGAAAAATGATTCGGTTCACAATTTGCCTTCTTACATATTGGAGTTTGTTTCATCAGTCCCCAAATTCTTATATTTGAATTTTGAATCTCAGAGTTATCATTTTAACTTTGAGCCAATGTTTAAAGGTCTATGGAGAGTCCTGTCCCTTTCTTAGTGTTTTTCTCGTTAATAAATGCTTACTAAGATGCAGTTTTAAGTATAAGGCCACTTTCTCTAGTTTAACCATAGTCCTTTGGTTTTGTTGTCTTATATTAAAGTAAATCTTTCATATTGGATAAACTATGTTTTCCCATTCAAGGGACAACAGAGAAACAGGCCTGATACTCTCTCCCTGTTGAATTTTGCATCATCCTCCACAGGATTTTGGTGTGTTTTGGGTTATAGAATTTCCCTTTTTGGTTTACGTTTGGGTCTACACTACTATCCTGCTGCCCACTGGTCTTTGTCACACGCAGTCAGTTCAAATCGTACCTTACTGCATAATATGCCAACACTACCTAATTGCAGTGTGAATGGCTCAGGATATCACCTAAGCCTATATACAGTTGAGGTTAATTGCCAGTAGGGACTCACAGAATCATTGTGGCAAAAGTGGTGCTTCGTAGCCCTTTTACTGGGTCTAGACCTTTGGGTTGTGATTTTTGTATTATAACTTGCCTTTGTTTTTTCTAGCACACATTCCCAGTCTGTCTTTCTATTGTCTATTTTAGCCCCATTTTGGTCTCTGGTAGAGTAAAGGTGCTTCCCACTGGAATGAAATCAAGCAAGAGTGAGGCTTCTAGTTAAAACCGTTTCCAAGCAATCACCTTCCTTATCTGTCCTAACCAGCTCCCCCCAGCTCTGACTTTGTTTTTTCAAATTTAATTTTTCCCATTATCACCTGTATTTTTTCATGGCTTAGTGTCTTTATCACGCTTTCTAAACTGAAGGAATGGACTTTAAATTCAAGTTAATGATCATTTGTTATTACTTTACATTGACCCAAGTCTTTCTCTTCTTTGTTCCTTTGGGATTAATATAGTTTATTGGTAGAGAGACTTACCAGTTACTGGCTCTGGAAAGTTTTTCTGTTTACATTTAAAGACTCAGTAGTTTACATTTAATATACAAGTCTTAAAGTCTCTCTGAGCTGTCCTCTCAATTTACAATCACTTTAGGAATATGCTTTTTTGCCTCAGTCTTTTCAAAACCTTTTATGTGTTTTCTTAATTATTTTTATGTCTTTATCCAACTAAATAATTTTGATTTATTCTTCATATTGACTGGTATATTTTATATCCATGTTTTTCTTTGAAGGTAGTCAGCAGGTTAAACATGACATTTCATTCTGGTGGTTTTATTGTAAAAACGCTTTCATAAAAATAATACTTAAATATCTGTATTTTTGGTTTATATTTTTTCTTGATAAGAAAATTGACTTACCTTGTCACTGTAGACACGCATTTGAATAGGCTAGCAAGTCAGCCTTGTATCATTTTGAATTTGGGTCCTCTTGTGAGGATACTATTTTACTTAGGCTGCCTAATTCACTGTAGAAAATACGAAATTTCAACACTATTAAGACAAATGTCAAATAGTGAAGTACCCGCGACTGCTTTAGGTTTCACATAAAACTGTCTAGTTTTTGTTCTCCTTTTAATCCAATTGCAGGGATACTTTATTTTCACTTTTCGTATTCTTTTCTCTCAGATATCGGTCAGTGACATTTTCTAGTTGGCAATCGATTTGAATCCTTTGGATCCAAATTTGCTAAATATCTAGCTTTTCTTCCTTGATCAGATCAGAGTGATTTTCAAGCAGGATAAGAAAAAGGCCAGACTGTGAGTTTTAATAATTTTCTTCTTAAATTTCAACAATTACTTTTTTCTCTGGCTCAGAATTTTAGTATCAGAAGCTTTATGTAAGGAAAAAGATATCAGTTGTGTATGGAGTTTTGATAAACCCAATTCTTTACATTTCTGAGAATTCATTTTATGAAGGTTTGCTTATGAAGGTTTATGTATCTGCGTTTACTCCCTCTGAAGCCTTAGAACAATTTGCTTTTGGCCCAACATCCTCTCCCTTGAAATGACTGTGTTACAGTGGGAAGCAGCCGTGGGAGGCAAGAAACCAAGAATCTCAAACTGGCTCCCCGTGAATTAGTCGAGTGCTTGTTGTCAAGCCGTGTAACTCCGCGGGCATTTCTTTCCTCATGTGGAAATGAGTTGAAATAGATGAACCCAGAAGTTATTCCAGTGGCAAAATTATAGCACTCAGTGTTCTGTTTTGGGTTTAACCTTATGTGCTTCTTAGCAGAAGTAAAAGTGTTTCCTTTCATTTTTCTATAAAATGTGCTTTTTCCTAAAATAGGTAGTAGTACACACATATGTATGTGCATATCTGTGTGTATATTTCTGAACTACAAAGTCCCAGTAATGGACAAACTTTATTATTGTGAAGGCAATAAATAACACGGTGCTTGAGGCTAATAAAATAGTTGAGATTTTGGTATTTTAACGGAAGACTACCTTATAGTATTTTAAATCAAAAAAGGAATCCTTCATTAGAATGATTATTGTTGAGTGGAGTGTCTAAAATGTCACTTTGCTATTATCACCTGTGAGTATGTGCCTAACTCAAAACATTGAAACCCTCCAGAGATGTTGAAGGTTTACCAAGCAACCAACCTTCCAGTGGGTAAAAAATTTTGAGACTCTGGGAGTGTGAGTGAATTTCATTAAGGCAGTTGAGACCTGGTTTCCTGTTAAAATTTACCCTAACTTTGGCAAAGTCGTGGAACCATAGTTCAAAAAGTGTATTTGTTTTTACTGATTTGTTTAGCTTACTCTTTGATAATGATAACTGAAGTGATGTAGGGATAAATTTGGTTAAAAAAGACTGCTTTAGAGTTTTATTGTTTTGACTCCAGGAATTTATTATAATTTTTCTCCTTCCGTAGTTTCAGTGCTTTTTGAAAACTAAAGCATGGTTGTTTTCATGTTTTTCAGTTTAAATATTAATGACGAGTATTACTTTAACTTGTGTTTCAGAGCGGTTGTGGTGAGTCCAAGATTAGCCCAACATTTTAGTTTGTTGAGATGCAACAAACATAAAATGAGCCCTGGACTTGGAGTCAGAAACCTGGGAGTTGAGTCACAAAGTTCATTGGCGGGTTCTTGACATTTCTGTAGCAGTCGTGGTAGTAATAGTCCTGTGAGCTTCCGGTCTGTGGAACCAGATGAATTGTTTGGGATCTCCTGGTCAGAGAAGATGACCGCGAAGCTTTTTCTGCTGAAAGTACCATTCTCTAGGACAGTTGTATTTGCGTAACCGGCAAAGTTTCACTTCCGCTCTTAAGATTTGTTAATTTTGCCAATGTTACTGTCTTTTTCCCCTAGAACAACAACAATCTTGAAGCCTGTTGCCGAGCCCTTTCCCAGGAGAGTAGCAAATACTTGTATATGGAATACCATAGTCCAGAGGACAACAGGATGAATCGAAATCGCCTTTTGCATATTAATCTGGGTATCCATTCTCCTAGTAGCTACCACCCAGCAGATGGAGCCCAACTTAACGGTGGTCGAACACTGGTACACAGCTCAAGCGATGGACATATTGACCCACAGCATGCGGCGAGTAAACAGCTGATCTGCTTAGTTCAGGAACCACACTCGGCTCCAGCTGTTGTGGCTGCTGCTCCGAACTACAATCCCTTTTTTATGAATGAACAGAACAGAAGTGCAGCTACTCCTCCTTCACAGCCACCTCAACAGCCATCTTCCATGCAAACAGGAATGAATCCATCTGCTATGCAAGGGCCTTCACCACCACCCCCTCCTCCTCCTTCGTACATGCACATACCTCGGTATAGTACCAATCCCATTACTGTTACGGTATCCCAGAACCTCCCTTCCGGACAGACTGTACCAAGAGCTTTACAGATCCTGCCACAGATTCCAAGCAATCTCTATGGGCCTCCTGGTTCTATTTATATTAGACAGACATCTCAGAGTTCATCAGGGAGACAAACTCCTCAGAGTACTCCGTGGCAGTCCTCCCCCCAGGGCCCGGTGCCTCATTACAGCCAGCGTCCTTTACCCGTTTATCCCCATCAACAGAACTATCAGCCTTCTCAGTATTCTCCCAAACAGCAGCAGATTCCTCAACCTGCTTACCATTCACCGCCTCCTTCTCAGTGTCCTTCACCCTTCAGCTCTCCGCAACATCAAGTGCAACCTTCCCAGTTGGGCCATCCAGGTTCCCATGTCTTTATGCCACCTAGTCCTTCCACCACTCCACCCCATCCGTATCAACAAGGACCGCCTAGCTATCAGAAACAGGGGAGCCATTCGGTCGCCTATCTCCCATACACACCGTCCAGCTTACCCAAAGGATCCATGAAGAAGATAGAAATCACAGTTGAACCCTCTCAGAGACCTGGGACAGCCATGAACAGGAGTCCTTCACCTATCAGTAATCAGCCGTCTCCACGGAATCAGCACTCACTGTACACAGCCACCACGCCACCTTCAAGTTCCCCTTCAAGAGGCATATCCGGGCAGCCAAAACCTCCATTTAGTGTTAATCCTGTGTATATCACGTATACACAGCCAACTGGACCTTCATGTGTTCCATCACCATCTCCTCGAATGATACCAAACCCAACTACGGTTTTTAAAATTACCGTAGGTCGAGCAACGACTGAAAATCTTTTAAATTTAGTGGACCAAGAAGAACGTTCTGCAGCCCCAGAACCGATTCAGCCCATTTCAGTGATACCTGGTTCGGGGGGAGAAAAGGGAAGCCATAAATACCAGAGGAGTTCTAGTTCTGGATCAGATGACTATGCCTATACACAAGGTAATTTCATTTAGCCCTACTATGAAATTTCATCTTTGTGGTGAGGTGGCAGTCTCCTGTTGAAAAAAAAAAACACATTTCTTGGCTGTTTAATTTTTTTAATGTTTTCATTTATTTTTTGAGAGAGAAAGAGCACCAGTAGGGGAGGGGCAGAGAGTTTTAAAATATGTTTTAAAATATGAACACGTAGGCATGATAATGGTGACCTTATAAGGCTGTTTTTTAGGAAGAACGTGCATTGGGACAAAAATACAGACAAGCGAAATCGATATTGTCAGAAAACAAACTACAGAGTAGGAAAAAGAGGGTGGGCTGTAGTTGATCAAAGTCAAAGAATTTGTGTCTGTTTTAGAGAATGGCCTGGAGCGTGTAATATTTATAAGCACTGTCTACTTACAAGTGGGACTGGTGATGAAGAACGTTGTTGGATTAGTTAATAGCCTAACTAAAGAAAAAGACGACAGGATTTTTTAAGTCTATGCAGATTTCAAGCTAGCTGAGAATTTATTCTTTCAGTATGTGAGGCGGATAGTAATTACGATTGTAATTAAAAATGCCTGGTAGTGAACCTGTTTAAAACGCACGCAGGCATAGTTAAAAACACAGTCTTAGGGGAACGAAGGACAGAGCCAGCGGGACCTACAGAGGGTGTCATTTTGGTACGAGAGCCAAATTCAAGCAGACCTGGGAAAGGTAAGACAGCATTAGCAAGACACAAGAGTAAGTGCCCGCTCAGGTTGAGGACAGGGTTCCTTTGGAGTATTTTACGCGTTGGCAGTGCATGGAGAACTTTCCCAGTCACTGGTTCACTGTTCCTCTCTGCGATGACTCTGTCTGTAACACTGTAGCCTTGCTGTTACATCAGCGAGCAAGGATGGAGAGGTTAGCAAAGCAGTTGAAACTCGAGAAAGAGGAGCTCGAGCGCTTGAAGGCCGAAGTTAACGGTATGGAGCATGACCTGATGCAGAGACGGCTCCGAAGGGTCAGCTGTACCACGGCGATTCCCACGGTAAGTCCTCGGTGGCGGTGTGTGGATGGGAAGGTGGGGATGGTGGCTGTCCAGGTCACTCGTTTCTCTTGCAGGTTCTCTTCCCTGCAGGAGCTTTGTGCTTTTTAAACGATGGACAAGGGACTGTGGCCTTCAGTAGCTCTCATCAAACTAATGCGATGCTTGTATTTTTTTTTCCACCTGTATGAATTCCATAGATTCATCCGTATTTTCAAATAACTGACATTTCTAATCAAGGTATGGCATCTCATTAACCGTAAGTTTTTGTCAAAGTAGGAAAGTGCTCCCTACTAAGTATTTTGTCATTTGTTCTCACGTGTCCATTTTTTCTTTGAAGCATGTAATATACATATAAATTGCAAAGGTTTCGAAGTTACTTATTTAAGCACATTGATTCAAATGACTTAGAACGCTATCGATATGAATCTGGGAAAGTGTTGACTATAGAGTATTTCCAGGCAGAGAAGTGTTGTTAAGTGTAAATAATTGTAGCAACTAAGATAGCAGTATTGACCGCAGTCCTAACAGTCACTGCTCTCACGCAAAGAGTTAGACGGTATGTTTTTAACATGATTAGCACTGCTGAGGAGTTCTAAAAAATGTTAAGCAACCTGGAAAGTTTTGAAACCAGCCTCCTCAAATCTTGTGACAACACAAGCTTGCTGTGATCCGATCTGTCACTTCACCTTTGAACATTCATCTGTGCAGCAGGCCGTTTTTAGTTGATGAATGCGGTCCTGTGCTGGGTGCTTAGCGCATACCCGCCAGCGAGACGAGTAGATCTGTCAACAGATAATTCTAACCCAGTGGGGTCAGTGCTGTTTACGCTCGCGGGTGATGAGACAACTCCCCCGGCCCCTCGTCTGTGTGTGTACTCTGTGCACTTCTGCCTTCCCGTATCCTCTTCTGGAGCTCTAAATGGGTAAGTCCTGCGTCTTCTTCAGGGCTTCACCTTAAACTTGGCTTCTTTCCGTAGGGCCGTTCCTTCTTTTCCCAACGTGTCAAAACTGAGGGAGGTTTCTGAGCATTTCCAAGTCGGGCCTCTTGCAGACAGCATGCCGCTCTGCCTTTGTAGACAAGTTTTTAATGGAGAATTGTGGCTTCTCTGGAAATCTGGGAACTGCGGAAATTATATGCAGTTTCATAATGTGTTTTTATATGGAAGCAGGTCCCTGGTTTCCATCTGATTTTCCTACGGTGAAGAGAGGGAAGGGGAAAAGGCCAAAGACCCACTCCTCAGGGAGGGCATTTGCTAAGGGAAGAGAGCACTGAGCTAACAAAGGGGTGAAGTTAAGACACGCAGACTTTCAGGAGGTAGCACATACAGGTCTCACTCGTAAGGTGAGGTTTCTGGAGTGTTAACAGGTTAATGTGCATCGGTCTGGTGGGGCATAGATGTTGAGGCTGAGGTGTTTGAAGATTATTCTGCTGGTCCTGGGGAACCCGGTGGAATTTGCCAGAAAGAAATTATTGATAAACAGGTATATTTAGTAATTGAAAGGAATTTAGTCAGTATTAGAATTTCAAAGAATAGTGTTATAAGAAGGGAGGATTTTACTTCAAATGCTTAGAAAATTATAAAGCTGTCTTTCAATAAAAGGTGATAAAGTCTTCATTTTTTTCCTCCACTCAAAATCTTCATTGAATTCTGTGACTAGGGAGGTAGTGAAGAATACAACCCCCATGAGAATCTACCCTGGTGGTTGGGCACGTTGCAGTCTTTTAGGTTCTTATGGAGCATAAACAGATTTTCTTAGCATAAAAGGCATTTTCCCTAACCTAACCGTGGGCCCTGTGTTTACTGATCTATGGCTGTTGGATAATTCCTGCTAAGTAATTGAGAGTATTTGAGAGACGAGAAATTTCAGCGTGTGATCCCCTTCCGTGTGTGCTGCCAGCCCTAGAGTAAAAGGAGGGACTATTAACAACGCCTGGGCAAGGGACAGTTCTAGCTGGATGTTCAGACAGTGGCTCTCTCTTCACTGTGATACCTGTGAATACTTATCTCTTGGGATTTTTGTTAGGATTAAATAATACATAGTAATGAATTTATGTAGTACCCAGCAAATAGTGAATAGTCTTTTAAGTGTTGGTTGGACAACACTGGAAAAACACACAGATGAGAACCATTTTGCAAAACTGTAGCTTTAGGAACATGTATAACATAAGGGTATGTTACAGAGGAAATTAATCCAGAAATAAAGCATTTTGTCAGAATTCCCTGTTGTTGATGGAGGCTCACTTGAGGCACCAGGACATAGTTCACAGAGTGTTCACGTAGGCTCTGGAGGCAGAATAGTTTTGGCAATATCACTGGCTCTTCTGTGCATTTGATTTTCCCTATCTGTAAAAGGGAATTACATTTTAATATTGTCAAGACAAAGAGACAATATATGTAAAAGTGTTTGGCATGGAGTGAAGTGCTCAGTAAATGGCTGTCCTTGTCCCACTCACATGTGGGATTACAGAAAAGAGCATCGTTTGGCGGGGTTTGTGTGTGTGTGTGCTACTAAGCTCCTATCTCTACCTTCAAGTTTGCAAATCAACTTCTTAACAAGCAGTGCATTAAAAAAAAAAACGTGTGTACCTCGGGAGCCTGAAGTGCACATTGGTTACCAGCTACAGGTTGCAGTTGTAGAATTTAGAGAAAGAGTGAAATGATCTAAGGAGGGCACAAGTGCAAGATGGCCTCAATCTGTTCTTTGCAAAGCATTGTGTTTTTGTGTGAGAGAAAAGAGAATCGGAAGGGTCGGCCAGCTAAATGGTAGGGATATTAAGTACTTTGAGAGTTTTGCGATAGAAATGTTAGCTTTTTGCTGTTAGGGTTCCAAGATGAGACAGCTTCATGGTGGAGGGGAAAATGCAAGTTAAACCTTGAAGGATAAATAAGGTTTCATTAAGCAGAGAGCTGCCAGTTCCCCCACACCCAAGTTTTTCCTCTCCTTCATCTTGTTCTAAGCGGGTTTTTGGACTGACATTTTACAGCCCCAAACAACAGTGGTCGTCAGCCTTGCTCTCTGTGATAACAACTTCTTCAGGTGCTCAGTTGACTTAAGGTATTTCTGCCACCTTCTGCAAAAAAGCTTAGAATTTTTGACTTTGTCAGATCTTTTACAACAACTCTAAATTACACACAGCCAATCTTGAAAGTCCTCCTCGAAAATGCAGTGCACTTGTTTACAAATGGTACTGACTTTTCAGAAATAGCTCCCCCACCCCTTGGTTTCATCAGAAGCTATGAAAAAGGACCTAAGAATCTTACAGGGAAGTTCTTTCTTTAGGGAATTCTGGTGGTTCTCCTGTCTTTGGAAATGATCCTGTTGACTAGAGCTGCTGGTATTCTTACAAGGAAATGTGCTCATAGCCTCTGGACTACTAAGTGTATTTTAGTATTTCCATACTTACTTATGTAGCTTGACTATTTAGGACCATTGTGTCTGAAACTCCCTCCTTCCTCCTGCACCTTCATAGGAAGATTCAACTCGTTTAGGTACTTGACTTTCCGGGTAAGATTCTACAAAGTGAGTTTTTTTTTTTTACATACTCCTAGCACTGATCCAAGGGCTTTATCTTTAGTGAAAATGCCCACGTCTATTTTAAACTCTTGATATTGCCTGGTAGACAAGGTATAAGCATTTTATGTGGTAACGTCCCGTGTTTTGCAGATAGGAAAGAGGCAGTCGTTAATAAATATTTCTGAATGACTTTCGTGTTCCCACAGCAGTGTGTGTTCTATCCCTTATTTCAAAGGTTTCATACTCGCGAATTTAAGGGGCAGTCCCAGTTATTCCGAGAACACCTCCAGTGTGAGAGCTTGTATTATTGTAAATGGAGAGCCTTTTTGCTCATTTTTCTTGACTCTTCTATTAACAGGGTGTGTAGAAAAATACAGGTTTTTCACAACTTCTGTCTTAACAGATATTCATCTTTTACCGTATATAGCTCAAAGCACATTAGTAACTGAGCTAATATCTGGGCTGTGGTGAACGCTTTAGTCCCTATGCCTCTGGAATTTAAAACCTCAATTATTCTTTTCCTGTATATATGTAAAGAACCTTAGAAGGTCAGAGGAAGTCAAGTCTTCCAGAAAACGTGAACTGAAGAATAGAGCATTCTTTACATTTGTCTCATGTATGCCCCTGCAACGCCTAAGGGGGGAGTAGGTTGGGCTGGGAGTCAATGAAGAAGGAAAGGAAGTTGGAGGCAGAGTGGGGCCCACTTGTTTGACGTAGGAGAAAAAGTGTGTTTAAATCCTGGTTCTACCACTTCCTTTCTTTGATGACCTTGGAAAAGTTTTAGGTCTTCTTGGGGCATCGCCTTCCTCATTTATAAACTGGCGATGCTTGCCCTGGAAGATGGTGGTGAGGAACGAGTAAGAAACCTCTGGTGAACAGTGTCTGACACTCCACATTAATTTAACTTAGTACTGTTGTCATTTCTACAAGCCTGGACGAGACTACAATCGTGGACGTTGCTTGTTTTACAGATTGGTCCTCATGGCTTCCCTTACCATGCTCTGTGATTACAATGCACGTTTTGTGTTTATGTGGCCATACTGATGTCCCCATTTTACCTGACTGTTCCTTTCAGCGTTTAGGACTTCTTCAGCGTGCCCTCTTTTGGACTAAGGCCATATTCTTGGTAATAACCAGTCAGAACGATTAACGTGAATAGCAGTTCTTAAATGTTGGGCTTGATAATGACTTTCCCACAATTGCTATTTTGGGTCCTTTCTTACTAGCCTGAGGAAATGACAAGATTGAGAAGCATGAACAGACAACTCCAGATAAATGTTGACTGTACACTGAAAGAAGTTGACCTCCTTCAATCTAGAGGTATAGACTTGATTATTTGGTAAACCATAAGTAATAGTGTGGTGTGTTAAGCTGCTTAAATAGCCATCATTTTGGTTTTACAGATTTAAGAGCGAGTTTTTATCCATTATAATCCTGGTAAAGAGATCCCTCTGCTCCATGGCCATACCTTTGGGGGATCCAAGATAGTTTTACTTGGGCAGTTTCATCATTAAGTTCTTATCGTTTAGACTGTTCCGTGTTGTTACTCTGCGTTTCTCCTGTTTTAGTCCTTTACTGTGAATATTTTATACTGATGGGTCTTAATTATAAAACTTACTAGATTGATGTGTTACTCATCGAAAGTATCTGTAAAAATCGGGAATCATGTATCCGACTATCTGATTCCTCAGTTTTAAAAGAAATTCCATGTCCTTTTTGTGTATCCATCACTTGAAAACATCCAGCTACGTTTTATACTTTCTGGATTTTGAGGTTCTTTCCTGGTTTGGCTCTTTTATAGAATTGTATTAGGTAGAAGCTCTCTTAACTGACTCTCGTGTACCCAGCTCCCCGGGCCGGAGGTGTTCATTCCCCCCACGAGATACCTGCTCCGAGTCCGCAGCCGCTGCGCACTCCTGAGCGGGAGGCCACACACCGGCCTGTGCCTGTCCTGTTGCTTGTAGCAGTTGAACGGTCTGCTCCGCGGGAGTTAGTCGTGCCCTTTCCCTCGCCTGTATATGCCATTTCCTGTATTTCTCTATTCTTTCTTGAGCTCACATGAACGCAGGAGGATCTGCTCTTCCTATAAAAAAAACCAAAGGCAGATCACTACAAAAAGAAAAAAGGCAGGAGGAGGTCTGCGAGCTAGTTACGGGTGAAAACTGCCCAGGGTTAAGGGGATAAGTCATAAAAACCTCAGAGGATTCTCTTCCATTACTCAAAATAAGACAAAATTGTAGATTCAGCGTTCGGCGCAGTAGCCTGCCGCCTCTTTTGGTGGTTCTGGTGGCACACGGTCACACTCTGTTGTTGACATGGTGTTTGGGGCTGCTTTTGTGCTTCTGCAGCACAGGTGAGGGCTGCCTCCAGACTGTCACAGGTCCGCAAAGCCTGACACGTTTATTCCCCGGACCTTACACGAGAAAGAGTTGGCCCATTCCCTGGGGGGACCTTAGAGGTGTACAGTTTATGTAAGACGGACCATAGAAAACTTTTTAGTCAACACACACTGAAGTCTTGTGCCAACATGGAAGGTGACAAGTCATTTTTCTTACGACGTCTGATTCAGCCCCTCCCCTTTTACCACCACTTCCTTTTCTTAATTAGGCCAGCTAAGAGAGCTTCTACTATATTTTAAGAGTATTATAATAACGTACCCTGTTGCCGTGTTTAGGCAAGATGTAAAAGATAGGGAACAGTCTGAATAGAAGCAAATTTGAATGTGAAAGGTGCACAGTCTGGTCCCCTACCCTTCACTTTTCCCCCAAAGGTAATCCTAGAGACTCCTTGCTTTAAGCACTGGAAGAATTGCTGTGCGTGGTGTGGGGGGTGGATACTAAGTATTGTCACTGTTTTGAAAGACTACGTCCATGTTTTTTGCTTGGGTGTTTTTTTGAAGCAGAACAAGGCCCACTCAAACGGTTGGTTGGGACATTTGTAGTAAGCCTTATGAGACCTAGAAATTAAAACATCAGCTGTAACTTAATTGAGGAAATACATAGGCAGCATCTTACAGCATTGTGGCTTTCATTTGTCTTCCAAATGCAAAAACGCATCTGTGATAAAACCTGCAAGGGAAAGCACTATTAAGGTTTTAGAAGCAAAGAGCTGGGTTTTTGGTCTTCATTGGGCCACACACAGCTCTCTTTGGTGCTGAAGTGTTTCTAAATCCCCTTTCATAAGGGTTCCAAATATATCCATTTTATACTGAATGCTACTCTTCCATACTCCAGAAAAACTTTAATGTTGGAAAACTTTCGTGGGGGCAAATAATGTCTAGACATCAAGACAGCCAATATATTTGAATTGTCAGTACCCTACAGCATTCTCTGTACCTCATAAGCAGGAGTAGTTTTGAACCTTCATTGCAATTGGGCAGAACAAGCAGATTACGGTGATAGGTTTGCACAAGTCGAAGCGGGACCCAAAGCTGACAGTGGATCACAACCCACCTTGGAGGACTCATGGCAGGAGGTGGGGCTGAAATAGACACTAGGCCAGGGAGTGAACATCCTGAGAGAGTTGAAAATTTTGTAGCAAGACAAAATTCTCAGGGATTGTCGTCTTTATTACTCTGAAATTGGCACCTTATTATCTTGGATAAATCTGTAGGCACCATTCAGCATTCTCCTTTTCTTCAAGATAAGAAAACTGTGAGCCGCTGCTACGGTAACTTGATTCCTCTTTGTAAATTTCTGTTTCACTTCTTCCACAGTTTACTTTATCATGGGTAACTTGTTAAGGTAAACCATGAATGGCATGAAAGATACCTTCTTTCTCACGGTTTGTTCATTAAAATCCAGAGTAACGCAAAATAGTTCAGCCATCCTTTTTCCTCATTGACCTCCCCTACGTGTGTCACAGACATAATCCTCCTGCAAGAGAGTAGCTTTGCAGTTAGAAAAATATCCCTTCAGGTGATGGTTTGTTGATCAACACTGATGGGGTAGTTTGCTTGGGTCTTTTCTCACAGTGATCAGGAAAACATTTTCAGTGGAAAGAGGATAGGAGTTTTGAACCCTGGAACAGTTTCCCTTCTCACATATTTTATTTCTATATATTCTTTAACAAAAAAGCCAAATAGGAACAAGAGCCCTAAATGCATATGGTGATTTTATTTTCTTTATAGGAAACTTTGATCCAAAAGCCATGAATAATTTTTATGACAACATAGAACCTGGCCCAGTTGTACCACCCAAGCCATCTAAAAAAGGTGAGTAGGGAAATGCCACAAACAGAGAAATAAGTATCAGAATGTTTAGCTGAAGCAATTTCCGTGAGCGAGATTAACTTTGCAGCACAAAACAAGTTACCATAGTGATACTACTGTGCCACGTGTCCCCCATATTTTAATTTCTCTAAGGCACTACAAATTAGTGACTCCTGGAATTGTTGTCAAAGGTAATTAAGTGGGATATACCATTTAATTTTTTTAAGTGAAACAATATATAGCTAACATTGTAAAATGACTTTGTCATAACTGTAATCCTAAACTCTAGGATCCTAGTTTAGATCCTAACTGTAATCCTTCTTCTAAAATAATGAGAACTTGAAAGGTCTTACCTGAGAATGCAAAGTTTGAGTTGTAGATCTAAGCTTCTTAAGTTAGGGATGAGGTGTTTCATTTATTTATTTTTTAATGTTTCTTTTTTGAGAGAGCTCGAGTGAGGAAGGGGCAGAAAGAGGAGCTGAAGCAGACTCCACACGGACAGGCTTGAGGCCACAGATCACAAGACCATGACCTCAGCTGAAGTCAGATGCTTAAGCTACCGAGCCAAGCAGGGGCCCCTAATTTTTTTTTTTCAACGTTTATTTATTTTTGGGACAGAGAGAGACAGAGCATGAACGGGGGAGGGGCAGAGAGAGAGGGAGACACAGAATCGGAAACAGGCTCCAGGCTCTGAGCCATCAGCCCAGAGCCTGACGCGGGGCTCGAACTCACGGACCGCGAGATCGCGACCTGGCTGAAGTCGGACGCTTAACCGACTGCGCCACCCAGGCGCCCCATTCCGTATTTACTTTTGAGAGAGGGAGATAGCCAGTCCGAAGCAGGCTCTGTGCTGTTAGTGCAGAGCCCGACCTGGGGCTTGCACCCACAAACTGTCAGATCATGACCTGGCCGAGAATCCGTCGCTCAACTGACTGAGCCCCCCAGGCACCCTGAGAATGCCTTTTTTTAAATGACCAGTAGAATATTTACAAATCTTGTTAGACTCCCTACTCAGGAGGTAATGTATAAATTCTGTGCTAAATAACGTTACCTTGATTTTAGTTGAATAGCTTTCTACGTATGTATGTAGTGGATGACTACCAAGTATCAGGTTTGGCACTGTGACAACATTCTGTACAGTTTCAAGGTGAAAGTCACTGAGTTACATTTTTAATCTAAATGGATAAAGTCGTCAATGATATATATGGGTCTCTTTAAACTCGGTGTTGCCTGAGTATCTACTAAAGAAGTCTTAACCTATTGGTAATCCAACAGACTTCAGTTAATTGATCCAAGGGCTGTTACCAAAGAATCACCCTATGTAACAGAATGCATTGACAAGTTGTTAATCTGGAAATAGCGACCAAGTTGGTGAGCAGTGTGTCCACCACGAGCCATCTCCGGTATGGTCTGAAGGGCCCACCGCAAATAACAGAGACACTCCTTATTGCTTGGGGAAATTTCAAGATTTTAGTGGTTATCTCCCGGGAGCTGGGCATTAAAGCTCTACCTCTCTTTAAAAAAAAACAAGAAGAAGTTGGCCTTCCTTAATTAGTTATGTATGTATGTTGATTCATTTTTGAAAGAGAGAGAGCACAAGCCGGGGCGGGTGGACACAGAATCGGGAGCAGGCTCCCAGCTGTCAGCACAGAGCCCGACGCGCGGCTGGAACTCATAAACCGTGATGTCATGAGTGGAGCCGAAGTTGGATGCTCAACCGACTGAGCCACCCAGGCGCCCCTACCTTCCTTAATTTACTTTTTCATGTGAATTTATTTTTAAGAAAGAGACAGACAGATGAGGGGCAGAGGAAGACACAGAATCAAAGCAGGCTCTGAGCTGTCAGCACAGATCCAGATGTGGGGCTCAAACCACGAACTGTGAGATCATGACCTAAGCCAAAATCGGATGCTTAACCCACCGAGCCACCCATGCATGCCAGGGAAGGCCAAATTCTTTGAGCAGTGTTTAGAAGGAAATTTGTGAAGACACACTCAAGCCATGAAGATTAATGATCAGTTACCTAAAATTCCACCCTTAGGAAAGAATAAAATCAAGGAGATTGAAAGGTAAATATAGAAAGAACACAAATTATCAAAATAGTAAGAGCAATAATGGTTATCCATTAACATAATAAGGGAATGTGATCAACATCTTTATGCCAATAAACTCAGAACTTTATATGAAATGGACACATCTACCAAAACTGACAACAAGATGATACAGGATATATTTATACCCAGATGGTTTCATTGGTACTTGAATTCTGTCAAACATTTAAGGAAAAGATACTACCAACCTTATGCAAATTTTTTGAGAAAATAGATGAGGAAAGATAGCTTCTCAGTTTTTTGTTTGTTTTGGGTGTCATCAGCAGAGCCTTGATTCCAAAACCTGATAAAGGTATTATCTACTCACCACCCCCCACACCCGTAGAAAAAAACCAGAATTACACATCAATACCCCCTCCCGATTTTAAAGTAAAAAAAAAAAAAAAAAATCGTAATTTTCACAATATATAGAAAGGATAATGGATCATGACCAAGTTTCTTTTAGCTCAGGAATGTGCTATCAGTAAAGGAGAAAAAGTTCATGCTCCTTTTACTAGATATAGGAAAAGCATCTGACAAAAGTCAGCCCCTATTCCAGCTATCAGGAGACTAAAACACAACTATTAGAACTAATAAGTGCCTTTAACAAGGTCTTGGGACAGAAGGAGAATCTACAAGAACCCTATTTTTATGTACCAGCAAACAAGTCAAAAATGAGAAATAAATTCAACACCAGTGATAGATGTTGAAAACTACAAAACATTGCCAGAAGAAATTAGGGTATTACACCATGTCTGCAGTTAAATCACAAGTGGGAAACTTATTCTTCCCCTACTCATTTGTACTTACACCCATTTTAACTGTACTGGGCAAAAGCAACAAACTGATTCTGAAATTCATACCTTATTGCCTAAGACATAGAATCCTCAAAACAATCTCTAAAAAGAATGTGATTGGAAGTCTTAGCCCTAACTAATTTCAGGACTTAATATAAAGCTACAGTCATCGTAGTATGTTAATGGCATAGGGATAAAAAGTAGATAGAGAATAATGGAGAGCCCAGATAGAGACCCTCACTTACACTGCCCGATTTTGACAAAAGCACCAAAGCAGTGAAGGGAGAAAGGGAAGTCTTTCCAGCAACTAATTCAAGAACCTGGTTAACCATATGGAAAAATAACCCAGTTTTGATCCTTACCTCTTACTATACACAGAAATCTAAGATGGGTCATACACAATGTAAGTGTCAGTGCTACATTACAGAGATTCCAGAACAAAACCTAACATATACTTGCAACTTGGGTTTAGCGAAGAATTTTGAGCAACACAGCAAGAATAGTTGGTACACTGGCCTTCGTTCAAGTTGAACATTTCTGCTTGTCAAGACGCACTGTGAAGAAAGTGAAAAGGCGAGCCATGGACTGGGAGGAAATATTGAAAACATAGCTGGTTAAAAAAAAAAAGGGGTACCTAGAGTGTATCAAGAACCTCTATAGCACAGTAATAACAAGACAAGCCATGGGCATCTATCTGGGTGGCTCAGTTGCTTAAGCGTCTGATTGTGGCACAGGTCATGATCTCACAGTTTGTGAGTTCAAGCCCTGCATCCGGCTCTCTGCTGTCAGCATAGAGCCTGCTTGGGATCCTCTGTCTCTCTCCTCCTCCCCCACGTGCTCAGGCACACACGCACATACTCTCTCTCAAAAATAAACGTTGGGTTGGGGCGCCTGGGTGGCGCAGTCGGTTAAGCGTCCGACTTCAGCCGGGTCACGGTCTCGCGGTCCGGGAGTTCGAGCCCCGCGTCGGGCTCTGGGCTGATGGCTCAGAGTCTGGAGCCTGTTTCCGATTCTGTGTCTCCCTCTCTCTCTGCCCCTCCCCCGTTCATGCTCTGTCTCTCTCTGTCCCAAATATAAATAAACGTTGAAAAAAAAAAAATTTAAAAAAAAATAAACGTTGGGAAAAAAACTTAAAAGGCAATCCAGTTTTACGAAGATCAAAACATCTGAGTCAACACTTCACAAACCTCTATAAATGGCCTAGCAAACACATGAAAACGCTCAACTTGAATAGACATTAAGAAAATGCAAGTTCAAATCCTTAGATTCCTAAAGAATGAGGTCTAAAACATTAATGAGAATGTAGAGCGATCAGAATTCTTACATTTCTGGTAAAAGTTAAAGATGGGGTGACCATTTCTTGTAAAAGCACACCTTGATTCACCTGCCCTGTAGCCCATCAACTCTACTTCTAAAAATTTATCCAACGGAATTTAAAACCATGTCCACAAAGTGGCTTGTAGAAGATTCATAGCGAATGTGTTCAAATTGAGCAAACACTGGGAATAGCCCAAGTGGCCCTCAGCAGGTGAGTGGATAAACCGACTGTGCTGTATTCACATGAGGGAATACTAGTCAGCAACACGAATCAACTCTTTTCACACACGACCTGCAGGAACCTAAGCAACCTAATGCTGAAAGAAATAAAGCAAATCCAAAAGAATACATATTGTATGAGTCTGTTTACATGCTGCAATTCATACACTAAATTAGTTTATATTAAAAAACAGAACAGCTTTGGTCTCTGGGAGTGGAGGTTGGGGATTACCTGGGAAAAGGCATGGGAGGATTTTATGGGCTAATGGTAATGTCTTGATAGGGATTCGGATTATTGAGGTGTATATGCAATTTTCAAAAGTACTCAGATGGCACGCTTACGGTATGTGTATTGCACTAAGTTTTACCTTAAACACTCACAAAGAAATGAGGAAAATGTCTGACGTCACGTGGTAGGTCAGCTGCCAGGAGCCCGAAGAGTGTTCTAGCAGTGGTCATATCGGTGTTGCAGACAGGTCATTGTGCCTCTGCCTTGGAGACCAACAGCATATACTTGAGGTGGGAAGCTCCTGTTTTGCTGGACTACTCAGCTAGGAATATCATTAGGATGCCGTAATATCCAGCTTCATGTGACTCTAAGTACCTTTACTAAGGCGGCTGTATTCCTTGCAGCTTTGAGTAGTCCTCACAGTGAGCTGTAATTAAATTCCAACTGCAGTCAACTTCTAAAGTATGTATCCAATAGTCAGTAGGTATATGGATCATTTAGATAGATGCTTGATGCTCCCTGACACTTACCCCACGTGGCTTATCCTAGTCTACATACGTTTGTTTTTTCTGTTAACGTTTATTTATTTTTGAGACAGAGAGGGACAGAGTGTGAATAGGGGAGGGGCAGAGAGAGGGAGACACAGAATCCAAAACAGGCTCCAGACTCTGAGCTGTCAGCAGAGCCCGACGCAGGGCTCGAACTCACGGACCATGAGATCATGACCCGAGCCGAAGTCGGGCGCTTAAATCCAGGCGCCCCTACATACAGTTTTAATACAAAGTAGACTAGAAAACTAACATCCTCACTAGAAATGAATTTCTACTTGAGAAATCCGATTGAGCTTTCATTAGATATACTGTTGGTGAGAACATACAATGGCACTGGTATAATAGTGTCCTGTTATGTACCCTACCTTGTAGTTTTTCAACTTACTGAAAAAAACAAAAGGTGAACCGTGCGTTTATTTTGAGAGAGAGAGCACACACACGCACACCTGGGGGAGAGGCAGAGAGAGGAGACAGTTGTAATGAAATGTGATGGATAGCACGGAGCCTGACTCAGGGCTCGATCTCAGAAACCATGAGATCATGACCTAAGCTGAAATCAGAAGCTGTTTGGTTTTCTCTATGAAGTCAGGTGTGTTGTCTTCTAAGCGTTCACATTTCAAAAACTAAATTGGCCTCTTCTCAAAAACATTTATGTACTTTAAGGTAGATTTTCTTGCAGTGCCACTTAAGATAAAATATAAATAACTGACAGAATTGGTTTATTGGCTAAAATAAATGTCTTGGCATTCTTACACGTATAAATCCAAGTGGAATATGGATGTTTATCTGAATAGTAAGTATAATAATAAAAAGAGAATGAAGGGCGCCTGGGTGTCTCAGTCTGTTAAGCATCCGACTTCTGCTCAGGTCATGAGTTTGCGGTTCGTGGCTTCGAGCCCAGCATCAGGCTCTGTGCTGACAGTTCAGGGCCTGGAGCCTGCCTTTGGATTCTGTGTCTCCCTCTCTCTGCCCCTGCCCTGGTCACAGTCTGTCTCTCTCGGGGGGCCAGGAGGGGTGGGGGGTGGGCGGGAAGGGAAGGAAGAAAAAGAAACCTAAGGAAAAAGGAGACCAAGAACCCTTTTTGGACTGAACTTTGTAGTGAAGCAATTCCATGTACATGTAAGCTTCTCAGCTGCCTTAGAAAGTCCTCCCCACCCTTTCATCGGTAACACAGCGGTGAGAGCACTGACCTTGTCATCCCATGATTTGAGCCCGGGTCCTGCTTATTGCGGCCACCTGACCTTGTTCAGGTCTAGTCTGTGCACCGGAGAGGCGATCAGTCCAAATCCTCATTAGTTTATGTATTTTACATGGCTGTCCTAAGAGTCTATGAGAGTAGTAAGCATATGACACTATAAAAGTGCTTTAGAAGCTTAAGAAATAGAAGTTTATAGTATTCTTTGGAGCCTAAGGAGACCATTTAGTCTGCTTTTGTTTACGCTGATAGTGGAGTAAATACCTAGGCACCAGGCTTAGGATTCAGGGGCAGTAATTTCCAAAGGTGGATCATACTAGGGGATTGCCTGTGGGCTCAGAACTAATCAGAAAATGCCAAGATCCTTCTTTGGTTTCTAAGGGCAGATAACACAAAGGACTGCTTCCGAATAAGGTGTGCATTCACAGAAACAGTGTTCTAGCAAGGGATGCCTGCAGTCCGTACTGCTCTCAGTTGGTGCTGATTTTTCAATCACTGCTCTTCTTATTAATTATGAAGTACTGTAGCTTACTGTTATTACTGTAATGGATTCTTCGGCCAGCCTTACAGAGCATGTGCTTTCAACCCATGATTTTCTAAGAACTGTTGCTTAATCAGGCCGTTGGCTCAAGTATCACCTCCCAAATTTTGCCTTCACGTGGACCTTTAATTACTCTCACCGAGTTTACACCAGGAAAGGGGCAAAGTGGTGAAATGAGACATTTACTCCAAGTAATTGTAGAGGCTGGAAAAGCTCGAAAGAGCCACGGTTCTACAGAGGTTGTCGAAGCAGTATGAAATCGGGCACGCACCCTGACCTGAGCGCGGACGCTGACATGAAGTCATAGGGTAACTATTCAAGTGTGCGTGTCCCATGACAGATCCTTGGGAGCCTGTCCACTCTTCTCATGAACGGCTTTAATCCCTTTCCTACTGGCTTTGCTTCTTTTCATGCAGACTCATCAGACCCTTGCACAATTGAGAGGAAAGCCCGGAGAATTAGCGTGACCTCCAAAGTACAGGCAGACGTCCATGACACCCAGGCAGCAGCTGCAGATGGTTTGTACCTGTGTGTCCGGAGTTTGTGCACAACGTCCAAACACACGTGTTCACCCACGTAGAGTTACCACAAGGAAAGGCCTTTTTTTTTTCCTTTTAGAAAATTATTCTCTCCGAGTGCCTGGCTGGCCCAGGCCATGGAGCATGTGACTCTTGACCTCAGGGTTGGCAGCATGACCCCCACATTGCATGTAGAGATTCTTAATAAAAAAATTAAAACTCATCTTCTCTGATGAGTTTCTAAGGCTGCGCTGCCCAATAAAAATACAACACAAGCTAGATAAATTTCTTACGTTAAAAAGTGAAATTAGATTAGTATGTACAACATTTCAGTAGCAAGTCCACATAAATTATGAAATATTTCATGTTATTTCAAACAGTCTTTGTAATCTGGTGTGGTTTTTTTGTTTTTTTATTGATTTTGAGAGCGTGCACGAGTGGGGGAGGGGCAGAGAGAGAGGATCCCAAGCAGGTCTCCACACCGTCATTGCGGAGCTTGGAGCCTGAGCCCGTCACAGGGCTTGAACTGACAAACTGTGACTTCGTGACCTGAGCCAAAATCCAAAGTCGGATGCTTAACCCACTGAGCCACCCAGGTGCTGCTGTCTGGTGTACGTTTGGCAGTAAGAGCACATCGAAGTGGCCGCTTTTTAAGTGGCTAGTAGTCCACCACATTGGATGGATTGCTTGAATAGCATCTACAAAGCAAGGCCAAGTAATTAATAAAAAAAAATGACTTCTTGGGGCTGCTGGGTGGCTCACAGTTGGCTAAGCATCTGACTTCTACTCGGGTCATGGTCTCACAGTTCGTGAGTTCGAGCCCCACGTCGGGCTCTGTGCTGACAGCTCAGAGCCTGGAGCCTGCTTCGGATTCTGTGTCTCCCTCTCTGTCTCTGCCCCTTCCCACCTCTCATTCTGTCTCTCTCTCAAAAATAAAGGTTAAAAAGATTTTTTTAAAAATAACTTTTTGAGGGCCGCTAAGTGGCTCTGTCGGTTACGTGTCTGACTTTGTCTCAGGTCATGATGTCACAGTTTTGGAGTTAGAGTCCCTTATGGGGCTTTCTGCTGTCAGTGTGGAGCTTGCTTTGGATCCTCTGCCCCTCCCCCAGTTGCTCACATGCATGTGCTCTCGCTCTCTCATATTTTTTTTTTCAACACTTATTTATTTTTGGGACAGAGAGAGAGCATGAACGGGGGAGGGGCAGAGAGAGAGGGAGACACAGAATCGGAAACAGGCTCCAGGCTCCGAGCCATCAGCCCAGAGCCTGACGCGGGGCTCGAACTCCCGGACCACGAGATCGTGACCTGGCTGAAGTCGGACGCTTAACCGACTGCGCCACCCAGGCGCCCCATCTCATACATATTTTAAAAAGCTTTTTTTAATTACTTTTTTATAACCCCTCACTGCAGTTTTCTCCTGCTTGAATTTTACCTTGGGATTCAGTTGAAATAAGGGTTCTAAAAGTATCGTATATATAGGAGTTTATGCAAGTATTTTACTTGACTATTACAGAAGTAGGGGAAAAATCCCAGCCTAAGAACCAACCAAACATGAAACTACCTTGTACTTTATTTTAGTTAAAAAAAAAATCCTCTTTTACCATTGGCATATTTCCCATTAGGGAAAAAGGAGTTTTTCTCTTTGGGTAGAAGTTATTTACCAATTTTGAAGTTTTTACTAGCATCCTTTTAGGCAATTTGTTTTCTATATTCTAATGAGTGTATTATAAACATTATTGATTTGATTTGTGTGATTTGTGAAGATGGTTATTTGTATGGAAGTTTGGCCTCTTCAAATTAAACTTTAAAAAAACCCTGCTCATTTCTAAATGGGTTAATCTCTACGTGCAACGTGGGGCTTGAACTCAGGAGCCCGAGATCAAGAGTCACATGCTCTTCTGACAGAGCCAGCCAGGCACCCCTAAAAATAATTAGTCTTAAAGGAAAAGCCTATTAACTTCAGTTCTCTTTTTAAGTTTTTATCTTCTAGGAGGCTTGAAAGATTTTGCTTCTTACACAGGCCATAGAAAGAAACGATTTCACAACTGTAAATCAAATGAAAACAGACATCTAAAATGTCTTTTGGGTTTTAGATGCTTCTATTTCAGCAGTACTTCCTTGGGATGAAATGCACAGTGTCTTACCAATAGTAATTCTAAATTAGGTGCCTTTTAACTATTTTGGTAAGTCAGTTGAGAGTGATTTATTCCAAATTCAGTCATGGTGGTCCTGAAGGGGAGAATAATATGGCACCATAAAATAGGCCATTGTTGGCGTCAAGATTTATTGTAAGAAACTGCAAAGGCAGGAGAAGCTCTGACGACAGAATAGAAGTTACCCTTTTGTCAGGAACAGTTACATGTACACTTAGCACTCCCCCTCACTCGTTCGTTCATTCATTCATTCCATTCATTGATTCATTCTCAAGTTAGTTAACATACAGCGTAGTTTTGGCTTTGGTATAGCCTAGTGTTTCATCTCTTACATACAACACCCATTGCTCGTCTCGAAGAGTGCCCTCCCCC